AGGGGTGTGTGCACTAGTAAACTCTGGGGAGGGAGCAGTAGGGGCAGCAGTCGTGTCAAGTCTGCTCAAAAGACTACTAAACGCTCATCAGGTGGATGCGCCAGATATGTATAGACTCCTCGACGGTGAGAGGCATGTCAAGAGCTGCCAGTCTGCTTGAGATTCAGGTTTGCAGCAACTCATAGCCTGGTAGCACTCTGAGTCCGTTATCCCCTAGCTTGCCCTTGTAGCCAAGCTCCCCCTTGGCGGTCAGAAAAACAAATTTCAAGCCAGGCATGCTAGCAATCGGTGGGGAGGAGGGAGCGAAGTGGGGAGGAGGGAGGGAAGCGCTCACAGTAGGAGGCAGATAGATGTGAGTAGGAGCTAGGCAGATGTCGAGTCTCAGACAGATGATGGCGGTAGCGGAGCGCAGAGGAGGAGAGTGGTACAGTTTCGTTGAATTTGGCGGGCTAAGCTTTGAAGTGATTAAGCAGGGGAGGGTCAAGCAATAAGCAGGAGAAACGAGTTTATGAATACAAGTCAGAATCGATTATGCATTCTTAGAACGATAGAGATGCGTAGGAAGCTACCGACAAACCGTATCATTTTGCTAAATTGTTGATAGCTGTCCTCAGGTTCAATCTGCTATCAGCACTTGCAGTCTTCACCGCGCTTTCGAGTCACCATGGTCAATGCTCTTAACAGTATGGAAAACAGCAGCCCTGGGCAGGTAAGTGACAACAACCTGGATGCAACAAGGTTTTGACGAGGACCCCCCGCCAGGTTGCAGGACAGAGCGTCCTCCTAGCTCTGATCCCAGCAGGGATCATGTTCATCGGCAGTCTGCTAACAATCATGCTGCCTCGGCCTCCTCCAAAAGTAATGGCACATGCTCTCCAACATCTCGCCGCAGGGATCGTTTTTTGTGCCATCGCGACTGAGCTGGTCAGTGTCTGACAGTTGAAGTGTGCTAGTATTGTGAAGCTCAATCTATTTCAGGTGCCTCCCTTAGCAGCAGCGAAGAAGGCAGCGAGCATCGGCGGTCTCGTTGTGGGGTTTGTGCTGGGAGTTGGTGTCATGCTGGGACTCTCCATATTCCTTGAGGTGATCTAGAACAACTCAACTCTGACCTGCCATCAACAATCTTTGTCGTGACTTTGTGTCAGCCCCCCGAGGAGGATGCAGAGGAAGTTTCGACGGAATTGTCACAGGATGTCAACGTAAGTCGATCAAATCCACTCCAAACCAAATTCATTGAATGAACATGTTGTCGGATACAGACCAATGGCACACTCCCTCGGGAAGCTGAGACAATCAAGATACAGAACACGCACGTATGTGTATAGCAGAATATTTGCTGCTGCCTATTACAGAGCGCCACGACTGATGTGTGACAGGATGCAAGACCTTCATTGGACGGGAACCTCGCTGGGTATCTTACACTCGAGCCAAGTCTGTCATGGGACTGATGACGTTTAGGCGCATGTCTCAGGACGGAATCGCCCATCACGGCCGACATGTTCGATCGCTGGTTGGCCAAGGTAATTCAATGATTTTCTGACATCTCTCATGTCTTTCATAGCGTATGAGCACTTCGAGCAAAGTTCAGGCATGCCGAACCAGCAGGAGGGCGAGCTCAAACAGGAGGGAGATAGCCGCTCTCCACACGAGATTCCCAGTGGTCCCACCAGCACCAATCCTGACAACTTCGATGGGAAATCATCAGCTGTCCCGTCCAGCCAAATCCAAGCTGAGACTTCGTCAACATATCTCAACCCTGATGGGACATCAAGAGGGGATGCAAGGAAATATACTGCAGAGAACAATCTCCAAACATTGAGACCCTTTCCCTACCTTTTTGCAATGTAAGCTGTGCTTTCTGATTGTTGCTCCTGATGACATGCAATGGTCAGGTGTGTGTATGTGGATTCAATCATGGACGGCTTGTTGATTGGAATCTCTCTCATCACAGGAAACAGGCAAGCCGCCCTCCTGTCAAAAGTACAGGCTGTGCTGTCACGACTGACTATCGTTGTTTTCAGTGCTGGAGTCTTCATGGCCATTGCCTTGTGCGTGGAGATGGGATTTCTTGGGCTTACGTTTGCGGTATGAAGCCTGTCTCAGAAATCCAGTTTCATCCATGCAGGGATAACTTGCTCTCTACAGACGACCTGTGCTGGTCATCCCCGGTTGAAGGCTGGAATCGCAGTTGTACTGGGTAAGACACTCTCCGTCGAGTGTCTGCTGTCAGTCGAAGTGACACATGCTTGCCCTAGGTCCCCTCTTCCTCCTGTTCGGCGCCTGCATCGGAGGACTTGTCGCGCATGCGCTCTCAGCTAACGAGCCGGCCCTGGTCGCCTGCACTGCTTTCGGGGGTGAACCTGGAATTCTCTCCTCTCTACCTGTCTGATTCGTCCGTTGAAAGTCGCTGCTCTGTTGTACATGGTGTGTGAGGAGCTCCTGGTGGCAGCACACGAAGAGGGAGATGACCATGTGTGGTGGGTCGACATCCAGGTGAGAAAACTTCGTTCAGCTCTGCTTCTCGACCTCATCTGCTGTACGATGTGCAGGTGTACGTTGGTTTCCTCCTTGCGCTTCTGCTCGAGAAGGCCATGGGACAGTATTGATCCAGGGGAGATTTCATGAGCATCAGTTTGACCGTTGTAGATCTCATACTTGATACTACTCGCTCCCTCCAAAATGAGCTCAATTTACGTGGCTGTACACGCTGCAGGTCAATATCAGCTGATGATAGTGTTTTGAGCTCTCTGCTCCAACCGGGTAATAGACATTCGATGATTCGTTGTTGATTAGTTTTTTTCGTGTGAGAAGATTCGAAATCTCTCCTGTTCTATGAGAAGGCTGCTTAGTCTGAATCGTCTTGCACATCGTGATTGTTTTGTCGGTTCAAGTAGATTGTTTCGAATGCCAATAAAGGTTATGATCCGTGCTTCATCCTGACCGATAGGATGGCTTCCGTCCTTTCGTTTGAAGGCTTATTCATTATAACAGGTCCCTTCGGCTACTACGAGTACGAGCGTCTCATGAACATTCAGCCCTTCATTAACGCTCATGGTGGAAATCCGTACCATGCGCAACGCGATTCAGTTCGACAAATAATCCCTACAAGTACGGAAGGATTGTGTTGTTAAAAGGCAGATTCTAGAGGAGTAAGACGAAAAGCGGTACACCAATATGTGGGAAGTGTTTTGGTTGTCGAAAAGGCAACCAGGTAAGAGGCCGGAAGAGGTAATATTCGAATCATTCATTCACTCCACAAAAATTAATATATTGAGAAAAAAGAATAGCATCCCATTCATGCGCTGAGAATCTTGTTCGCTTCTGCATTGCCATGCAGCAACAAAAGAGAAACATAGCGGAATGAAACACTCAACACGCAGTGCTAGAACAAAGTGACAGGATATTTACACTTCAGCTGGACTCCTGATCCTCAAAGACATCATCACAACAAGTGCCTAGTGGTGGTCTTCATCGTTTCGTATGAGATGTGCCGCATCGGTGTAGATCAGACACGCATGGTTCCCTCCTCTCGACGCTGCATGCGCAAATTCCGCGTCCATCTCCGTCTTGTGGTGCGCATGCACAACTTTGTCATCTCCCGTGATCTGTGTTTCCGAAGTCAACTTGGAGGGTTGTCCCTTCCATGAGGAGCTCCATTCCCTGTTGACACCTGTAGTCTGAAAGAGCTTCCGCTGCATCCCATCCGATGACTGCACGCGGCTAACCGAAGCGCTGCTCGGGTTGGAATGGAGGGGCGATGAAGAACCAGAATTGGACCCTCGTAGCCGAGGCCTGGAGTTCAACCATTTAGCTGCTTCCTGCTGTCCCATGGAGCAATAAATCTCTTCGAAAAAGTAGAGATCTGCTGCAGGAAGCTTGGATAGCCTTGTCAAAAGAATTGGGCCGTCAGATGCCGACATGTTTTCAGATGCAAACGTTGAAACACTTCGGTAATGAGTCAACGTGGAAAGACTATGATCGCGATCCGATTCCCAATCACTAAAATTCTGCACTGTGAGCTGAGCCTTTGCAACTTGACCCAAACCCTTGCAAATCAAACAATCGAAGAACGCTCTGCAGCAGTAACAACAGGCAACTGTAGAATATCCGAGACGTGTGAGTTGGTATTGAGATGTCTGCCCATCAAGTCCTTGCTTCACAAACTCTCTATGCTCTCATCTTCTCCTCTGTCTGTGTCTACTCAGCATGCCTGCTGCTGAAACAGCTTCCATGGCTCCGCCGACTCAAGGCAGCCAGCGGCGTGGTCAGGACCCCCTTGCAAGAACAAAGCCCCCAGGAATGACCACTACCCCCCTTTTTCTCAAGAAATACCCAGGGGAACGCAAAGACGAAAAGTGAAACAGATGTACCCACCTCCTCAACTAGGATTGAGGTCACTACCCCTAAAATCATAGAGGACAAACGAGGGGGTGGTTGAAACATTCTAGAATGAAGGTGATAAAAAGACTTGTAATCTGTACCACAATGTGCTGAAAACAGTTATAAAATGCATAAATGTAACCAAGTCCTGCAATTTCGACTTTTAAACAATTGTTTTAATCCAACTACATTGTTGTTGGTAATCATCAAATCGTTTTTTTGCTGTCTGGTCTTAAATATTCCAACATGAATCGTTTCGTTGTGAAGGTCGACTATTTGCTGACATACGACTGGCTTAATGACTCAATAGCCCAACTTTTCGCAACATGGTGTTAAACATTGTCTTTTGGTATCATCTGCTGACATCCACGAGACTCTAGATTTTCGTCATCAAGGACACGTGCTGAAACCCTTCTCGAGATGCGAGGATATTGAAGGAGCATGAACGAAGAGGTCGTCAGCATGATCAGTCACGTGCTCCCTTACAGGGTCTGACCCCTTGTCCGCGTGACAGTCTGCCCCCTTGATTTCCAAGATGGAATCTCGAACTTTCTGATGAGTTCGAAAGGTCTACTTTTTGGTATCTGCCTGTAAGTCGAGTTCTGTAGCTCCCTTAGAGGAAGCCGAAAAGTATATTCTTAACTCTTTACTATACAGACTGGTTTCACTTGGGAATCGCCGGGTGCTCGCCACCTCTCGTCTAGTACCCACCTCAAATTCGTATATATGACCCCTCTATACTGAGGTTTTGTCTACCCCACCCCCACCCCCACCCCTGTCCCCGTGATCACACCCTATACCTTCCCCTGACTCTGTGTCCTTCTTATTCCGACATCCCACTGTTTTCTCTCACTCCACCTTCTAGCGTGCTGCAACTACCTCCCCTCGCTCCTCTTCTACTTCGCAACGTGCTTGTTTGTCTCTTCCTGGTCGAGACTTGACAGTTTCATCGTTGATCATCTCAATCTAAACTTGTAGAAGTGAACCCACGTCCAAAGCTGTTTCATACTTGTTAATTCGCTTATTCCATTCTGCGAAAGTATTGCTTTGTATGGCAAAAAGCGGGCTGAAAAGATCTGTAGACACTGTGGAAATGCTTGCCGCTCGGCGAAGCCCTAGATACAACAGAGAAAAACAAACCCCGAAGAAAAGAAAATCTATCCTGGACCAATCGGAGTGGGCGGCAAAGCCGAAGCAAGAGATCGAACCTCTCCAAACTATCAACGAAGCTTCTCAATGCCAAGCAATCGAAACAGATTTGGAAGATGGAGACTCAAATCTGCCAGATAACTGCGCTATTGGTGTTCCTGTGGTCAAGGGTACAGCAGCATCCTACATTGAAATCGGGAGGGAGAGGATAGAGATAACGCTGATGAAAAGCGTACAGAGCAAAAATTTCGCTTTTGTCAGATATCTCCTCATGGCAGGCTGGATTCCTGAAACGGGGCTTCCTGCTCTTTGTCAATTTAGTATCACAGTGCATCGCTCTTCCATGAAGCAGGAGCGCTTGTGCGTCAGGAATGCTTGGGCACTGCACTACGCTATATGCTGCGAATCATTTTGGTGTGCTGCTGCTCTTATCGTAGCGTTTCCACATCTGGTGCTTCTCCCGTGTGTCGTCTCGGTTGAAGATGGTGCGGAGGAGGAGTGGACAATCTTGCAACTCACCACATACTTCTGCGATCTCTATCGCGAGCAAGGCAACGGGCAGGTCTACGAAGCGTACCGGAGCGCTTTGGACGTTCTCGAGGCCTTCCTGCTGCAGTGGGCAATGGTGCCTTTCATGGAGGAGGAGACTGCTCAGAAGCGTCTCGGTGCTGCTGGTGATAACCCCGAGGAACTGGTGAACAATCTCACAACAGCAGCGAGAAGAATCAAGAACGAGTTTCAACACGACAGCAAGTGAATGTTGTTGCAATGAATATTGGCCGTTACGCCCTTCCAATATTCTTGTGCGACTTGTAACTTAGGACTGCAACTCCTGTCACGAGATTCACTTGTCAGATACATAGCACTATATCCATGTTCGATAGTAATAAAAGATAAGAATACTGATATGTAGTGTTGCAATCATCATATGAAGAGACGAACAATCAAACAGAAGGAATCATCAGTCGAAATGTTTCATTATCTCATTCACCCACAATTACATGACACTTTGTAAGCATCCGTATTTACTTTTCATGGTGTACTTCTTTTAGTAAAGAGATAGAAATCCTGGAGTTAGTCGTCATCTTCTCCAGAGCTCTCGTCATGCTTTTGCCATATGCCAGCCCTTGCGGTAGCAAGCTTCCGTCCTCCCTTGGGGTTCAGACCAGAAGGTGGGCCTTCATGAACGTCGTAGTCGACCTTGATAATGCCCTGACAAGCAATTCGCCATTCAAGCACAGAAGTGGGAAAGTCATCCTGTCCCCCAAGATCATCAAATCCCACGATGTAATCTAAAGTCTTGGTGTTCTTAATAAGAGCAATAGTGGGGAGGACAACGATTCGGAGCTTTTCGACAAGGAATGGACATTTCTCTGCATTGAGTCTCACAAACCGAGCTTCGACGTGATCGTTGGCAATCTGAGCAAGATGCCTGTCAACAATTGCACAGCGGTGAGTCGATGGCCTGTAGAAGTGGCAGATAACGTTCTCGCTCGCCTTGGAGGCTGCAAAGAACTCCTTTTCTTCCGAAAGTTCCTCATACTTCCCATGACCCTTGCGTCTCCATTCAGCCTTCTGCTCGTTCTGCTTCTTGAGTTGCTGAAGGCGCACTTCTCGGAGACGATCTAGATCGTCCTCATCCATATCATCAAGTTTCTTGATCTGCTCATCGAGGGTGCTCTCAATCGCACTGGCCACGTTTGTCAGGTGCTGCTCTAAGGCAGCCTGGGCCTGGGCCTCAATCATGCTGGCCATACTTCTTAAGAAAGCAACGATACGGGAGGGTACACAGGTGAAGAAAAAGTTGTGAAGGTGGACGGGAGCCGTAAGGAGGGGAAGGGCAGTAGAAGCAGAGGCAAACGGCGCTGCAGGGCAAGGGGAGCAGAGCGATGGGAGGGCGGGAACGATATGAGATGATTTAGTGTGGGGGTAGGGATTACACCGGTTCATTTGACACTGAAATGATGGAATTTGATGGGTAGGATGGTTCACGATCTCATGAGTGGCTCGGAACTGGAGGGGGTGGTCATTCAAATCGGTTTGTTCAACCACCCGTACTTGAAACCGTGAGTTTCCATGGTAGGGTAATATTTGCGTTGACGTTACAAGAGTAACGGTGTTACAAATATTTCAGACCACCCACCCACCCACCAAAGGCCCGGAGGAAAAGCGGAAAGGACCCCTAGAGGCTAAAATGTTTGCAGACCGGGGAGTTGGTCGGTCTGCATCGAAGCCGGGACTCGAACCCGGAATCTCCCGCTCCGGAGGCGGACGCCTTGTCCATTAGGCCACTCCGACACCAAGCCAATTAAATTGATGGCGCATAGCATTTGTATACCTTGCCATGATGGGCACTGGTGATGGCGGAAGGTGTTCAGGGTGCAAGGTTGTCGATATCGTCGGAGAAAGAAGAGCAGAGCATATGAACATGACAGGAGGAAGGAGATGAGCTAGTTGAAGGGGAAATGCCGATTAGAAGAGGAGGCGGTAAGTTAGTGGAAGGGGAAATGCCGATTAGAAGAGGGGGCGGTAAGTTAGTGGAAGGGGAAATGCCGATTAGAAGAGGAGGCGATAAGTTAGTTGAAGGTGAAATGCCGATTGGAAGAGGAGGCGATAAGTGAGAATAAAAGGTCAAAGACAGGTGGATGGTGGAGGTGGAGATTCAGAGACAGAAACAGGCAGCGATACTGGATTTTACTTCTCTCCTGGTGCGTCCAGAAGTACGGCAAAAGCAAGAGAAACAAGGCAAAATCTATTACAACCATGGAAGTGTCGACTTTTCATGAGCCATCCCAAAATCTTCTTGCAAAGTCTGTGAAAGGGTACTCGTAAGATTTCGCGTTCTGCGCCTGCGATGCGATAACGCGGAGAATCCTTATGACGGAGTCGTTATGAAGAATTAGGTAACTCGGCAGCTGCAGCAGGCATCAGGAGAACTTTGAAGCAGCAAAGTAACTCAACCTGGTTCTGCCCTCTTAGCATCGGGTCGCTGAGCCGCACGACGCATAATGGCGTGAAGGCTGCAGAGCAGAGTGAGGGAAGCTCGTCTCACTCGACTGTCTCGATGCCCTACCGGGTGGTGGCGACGGTGGCGATGATGGCCTTCTTGAAGCGCATGCGAGCGCGCCAGGAGCGAAGGTTCTCCTGTACAGCCAGGACCTTGTCGCCGGCCGAGCCCGTCAACCAAGGATGCTTGAGGCAATCCGCGGCGGTGATGCGCTGAAAAAACAGTCAGTGCATCGGGGATCTGCTTGAGAAGGGAGGGACCTTGGCGGGGTTGTACGTCAACATCTTAGCAACAAGGTCTTGACCTGCACTTGACACCTCGTTCAAGCACTGTGATCCACCGTTAGCACATCCAACGGGCAGCGAGCGATCATCTACCGAGTTGTCATAGTACCCACGGATCGTCATCGCGAAGCTTTCTTCATCGCTCTCTCCTGCGAAAGGGGGGATTCCAGAAAGGAGGATGTAGAGAATGACGCCCATGCTCCACATGTCCACCGGGAGCCCATAGCCTCCTTCCTCCTTGAGGATCTCAGGGGCCACATACCCGGGAGAACCGCACAGTCCGTGCAACCCATTGGAGGTCTCAGCATGGCAGGCGAAACCGAAATCTGCTATCTTGACCACAGCCGATTGGATGGAAGTGTGCTCGACCAGAAGAAAGTTCTCAGGCTTCAAGTCTCTGTGGGCAATCTTCTTCGAGTGCAAGTACGCGAGGGCTCCCATCAGCTGGAGGGTTTGAGTTAGATTGACACCTAGTGATGTCTCGTTGCTGTCAGTCACCTGGCACATGATTCCAGCAGCATCCTTCTCAGTGAAATGTCCACCCTCAGCGTCCACAATGCGGTCAAACAACTCTCCTGTTGCGTGTTCGGTCATCAACTTGGTACATGTGAAAGCAAAACAAGCTCCCTGACCTCCAGAAAGAAATTCCAGGACGATGTAATACCTGTCAACCATGGTGAGCGCAACCGCGAAAAACGTTCTTGCTCACCTGTCCTTGTTCTCCACGAACTCCTTCATGTAGACGATGTGGTCGTGAGAGCCTACCAGTGTGCTGATTTTAACCTCTTCCTGCAGAATAGAACGGTTGAGCACAAAATACGTGACCAAAAGAGTGACGCACTCGCAAATACTCCTCTTCCTCCTTCTTCACGTTCGACTTCATCATTTCCTTGAGAGCCCAAGTCTGCAGTGCCATCACACCGCGCGGACAGGGAATGGTAGAGCATGAATACCTTTCTCGATTCGCGGTCATAACACTTCCACACAGTAGAGTACGACCCTGAGCCCAGCTTGCTGTTCTTATCGTTGCGATGGATTTCATACCCGTTGTCAATTGAGGAATTCACAGCCGACTTCCTGATTGCTTGCACCCATTCTGATCTATCTATCTCGCTATCGGCAAAGAAATGGTGGATCTTCTTGCTATTCTCCAGTTTCACTTCAAGCTCAATACAGTATCCTGCTTCTGCCGCTTTCGTGTCTTTCTCTTGGCATGCCTTGACGAAACAATTCTCCAGGGAGATGACCTTGGGTGCACCAGTCATTGCTGCGGTCTTGTATGCCAACAGAACAGCCGTCGGTCCTTGCCATTCAATCTTGTACCATCTGGAGACAGTTCTCCCAAGGATTTTACCGAATTTCCTGCAGTATTTGTCAGGAGGCTCACAGCACTAAAGTTTACGTACTTCAGCTGCCCCTTTTTGTCGGGCATCCGAGACTGGATCTTGAAGTGATTCGGAGCCATCGAGAACCTGTTTAGCACCGTCAGCTTGCAGTCTAATCCAACGCATTTGAAAGGCTGTCACTCTCTGGCGCCGAGCAACTTCTCTAAGTTGCAACCCTTCGGTGGGCAACTAAACGCTTAGGCCGCTCTCAGACATGCACGTTGCAAAATAGCGCATCTACTTCCTGAGCTGAACTAGAGATTCAAGTCTTCGAAACCATCATCGCAAGGAAAAACAACAGCAAGGGCAGTGGCATGTACACAGGAAGATGAGGTATCAAAGCAGAGTTTGGCTTGAGGAGCAACTAGGAACCCCTGTTCAAATGTGTGGTGTTCGTCGCGGACTGTCAGAAAGTTGCCGAAGTCAACAGTAGGCTGCCGCGCAGTGCGGCAGGTCACAGAACACTGGTTGCGGTGATGTTGAATTGCTACTGACTCAATGCGCAAAGAAAACCTACACTTGACACGAGGAGCTACAACTTGGATACGAGCCTAAGGCTTTGACCTTTACTAGCGTTGTCTCTCCCTGTGTTTCTTTTTTTTCCTTTTTTTCTCTCCCACAATGACTTCTTTTTTCCTTCTTCTGGTGCCCCTCGGCTACCACCCCACCCCTCCTGGGTATTTCACCACATGCCACCGACTCCACTACCTACCCTACTTTCCAAATACAGTACCCCACTGACCCTCAGATTTCGACCTACCCTTATGCTCCTAATACCTCCCTAAGACACCCCTCAGCGTATGCATTTCCCGGAAAGACCACCCTACCCTAGTAGCTGTCAAAGTAGCACCACTACACCCGCTGCCTTTTACTACCCCGAGTAGGACCCACCCCCCCTGACTCCGATGGTCCATCACAAGGACTTCGGATACCCTGCAAGGCAAGTTGATGACCCCCCGGTCACCTCTAGGGGTACTAGCCTACTCAGCCTGGGGGGATACGGTCACCCCGGTAGTACGGTACTACGGGTACTGGGCCCCTCCGGCGGCCCGGTATCCGCGGCGCCGTCCGATGATCAGGGCAGTACCCCGCCCCCCGCGACCACCGGGGGGTCCTCTACTACCCTACCCTTACTCAACCTGAAAAAGATTTTTGGATTTTTCACAACTCACGGCACACGACCGCAGTACCCTACCCCCCTACCCCTGCACCTGACTCCGAAACAACGGCGTGCCTCGTACTGTTTTTAACTTAACTTTGAGTAAAGGATTGAGTAAAAGTTTACTGAGCCTGCGAGTCCGATTTGGCGCCCGGCCCGGCCAGGCCCCGGGAGTCACGGTGACCGGGTGTCACCACTGAGCCCGGCTAACTGAGTTCAAGCAACTTAGCCTTGCCAAGTTGAACAGGCGCGCGGCGCGGCCGCGCGGCTGCCCGGCGCAGTGCCGCCGCCGATCGGAGTCGGGAGGCTCCGAGCCACTGTCGGACGCCGTGACGCCGTACGGTCGGATCATCGGATCGGGGCCCGGTGACGCGGCCGGGCCCGGCCTCAGGGCGCGGCCGCCGCCGGCCGCCGCGGCCTGACTCGGCCCGGCGGCCGCCGGGGCGTGAGTCGACCGTAGTACCGTCGTAACTGAGCCGCTCGGAGCGAGCTCAGCCGAGACTCGGCCGCTAAAGTACTGAGGCGGCGGCGAGTCCGCCGGGGGCCCGCCGGGCCGCTCAGCGGCTCCGCTTCCGCCGGGCGGCCGGCCCGGGCCCAGCAGCCGACTGATCGGACTCGATCACTCAGGCGACTGATAAGTACTGAAAAAACAAGAGATCGGACCTGGTACAAAATGAAGCGTCTGATGCTCTCGGTTTGTACCACAATCACCTTCATTGGTACTTAATCTTAGTCATTATTAATAAGTTGTACCAATATATTTACTTATTGAGGAGAACGAGTTTAAAACAACTATATATTCTAGGCCTGAGGTATAGGGTTTTGTACATCCAGTACAGAACGAAGAAGTTGGTTTCTGGTACTGATTCTTTTATAAGTTTTAATTTAAAACTATATTTAGAGTGATTTTCTTTCCCGCCTTTCCACACAAAAGCTGAGGATCGGGGTTGGACCCCCACCCCCAATTCTTCATCCCCCACCCCCACGTGATATGCACGTCAGGGACGACTCTTAAAGCGGTAAGCCCTTTTCCCAATGAAACATACCATGGTTGACACGGTAGGTAGTACCCCCACCCCCTCAATCAATTCTGCACCCCTCCAAATACTCCGTATTGAGGATCAATCCTCAATACGGTGGAGGCGAATCCGAGGAACAGAGGAAGAGGAGGCAGGGGTGAGAGAAGAGGAGGGAGAGGAAGCGAGCAGCAGGAAGGAGAAGGCACACCATCCTTGCAACGACAAAGAACAACATCAGCAGGGGCAGAAGGGGAAAGGAGACTTGAGCAGAAGGAGGGTGCCGAACAGAGGATCAAAATAAGTTGAATCAGGACAAGCCGTGAATTAAGCAGTCTGGCATGGCTGACAACGGCGTGAAAGTCGTCTTACTCAAGGTACATATGTTGTGCCTCATTTCCTGTTTCCCCGCTCGAGGGGCTGTCGCCTGTCAGCGTCTGACGATGTCGTCAGACCGATGGAAATGCAGTGGAGACATGGGCCGACATAGAAGATACGGAATGGATCTCAAAAGTGGTTCGACCCAATAACAGCCGTCGCAAGTTCATGACGCGATTTGCAGTTGGGAGGGCCTGTTGTGTTGCTGGCCAAGTATGGAGCAATGAGGGTCGACGTGTGGGGTCTGGACCATGATAAGATGGTTAGATTTGAAGCGTATAAGCGCTTGGCGGATGCGAGATAATAACTCGCACTTCTTTCACCTCCCAGGACACTTCAACTTTGGACCCGAACAATCATGAACTGCCTCCGCCCGATGCTGGGACAGGTGGGGGCATGCGTGAGGTGGGGATGTTCCCTGTGCTCATTCGTTAGCAGTGTCAGATATCCTCGGCGATATCGTTTTGGCTCGGGAGGATGCAGAAGATTTACACATGGAAGATGTACGTTGGCGCGATTGATATCAGGTTTTGAAAGGCTGACTTGCTGAATTTCAGTGGAATGCTTTCGTTGTAGACGCGGCTGCCTTTCAAGCTGGAGGTAATACTCCTGCTAGACTTTCGGTCCTTACTGTGAACTTTGTTTCCTTGGCTTACAGTTGTAGACGACGAGGAGGGAGAAGAGGAGGAGGGAGATGAAGGGGAAGGGGAAGAAGTTGAGGGAGAAGAGGAAGAGGGAGAAGAGGAAGTCTTCGACGCCGGTGCAATTGACGATATTGAGGTGAATTTATTGCACGTGGCATCTATCTCTGCTCTAACACCATTGTATCATTCTGACTTGGGCCATTTAAGGCTGCCGGTATCGATCAAGGCAATATGATTGCAGGAATCATAGAAAACTTTGAAGGGGGAGATGAGGAGGAGGAGGAGGAGGAGGAGGAGGAGGAAGAGGAGGAGGAGGGGGTGGATGTGGGAGTTGAAGGAGGAGATTTTGTAAGTAGAAATGTGGGTCTCTTTGCGGATCCCTGATAATTGGCGTGCAGATCGATGATGGAAGTGGAATGGGCCAGTTTCCATTCGGCATCGGAGGGGAAGAGTTCGGAGACGGAGAGTATGGGGAGGTAGAAGAGGATGAAGATGGTGAGTCCTTGTCCCTTTGGTCACCTCATGCTATGTGAAATTTGTCCACTCGGACGCTGTATTGCGGTGCTGAATTGTGATTTCAGGATTCGATTCCAGCCCCCAAAAGAAGCACAGAACCCGATAAAGATGGAATTTTCCCATCCTCGACAGGGTCGGGTCGAATCTACCTGGAAGTTGGGTAGCGAAGTTTTATGTCTCCAATACAGGTCGAAAAGTTACTCGAAAACTCTGATGTTTTCATGTTACCCTGGTCTTTGCAAGGGTGGTGAACTCAATGATATTTCACTTCTGCGACAACTGTGAATCATGCCGGTATACAATGCCAGTCGCAAAATGATCAACATGGGAAAGAGATTCAGTTTCGCATGACTTGGCTTCATGTAGACGTAGACTATCAGGAGTTTTCAAACAGGAATGTAGAGTGTCATACTTGAGGTGTAAAGATTTGCAGGGAGAATTCGACTCTAGTAGCGATTTTACTCTTCCTCAGTTTCCCAGGTCGGCCATGGATCCTTCAAGGTTGGCCAGACAACTCCCGGACATTCTTCGGCCATCTCGGCATCTGTTTTCACACCAAGAGAGTCATGTGGAGGGGACGATCAGGCAGGGAGAAACTCGAGGGCTGGAGGAAGGGAAACGATGCAGCAGCAGCAGCAGCAGCAGCAGCAGCAGCAGGGTACCTGTAAGTATGCACTCTGCGAACTGCGACCTTACAAGCTCATCGTCCATGTCGATGCCTATGATGACTATCTCTTGCTGTCGATCCCCGTACTTGTCATCCCACAGCTACAAGTGCACATCAGGTCAGGAGCTGCTGCAGGAAGGATCTCACCCCCGTGCTGAAAACCTCCTGCTCCATCCCCTGGGGCCATTCCTTCTTATCCACCATGGCCCACCTGGCTTGCGTCAGCTAGAAGGAAGAGAAAGACGAAATGGAGGAGGAGCTCAAGGGAGGACGAGGAGGAGGAAGCAGTTCGGATGTTACCAGGGCTCCCCAGCTCGCACCTCCACGTTGGATGCAGCCTGCAGCACAAGTCATGATCCCACAATGCTGCTGGGGAGGAACCTGACTCCACTGGCCCATGAGCTGGAGGACAGGTGAGAATCGTAACAGGAGCAAGAGCAAACGCTCACATCCGGCCTCGTTGCAATCCACACAAAGCCCTTGCTGCGGAGCACGCTCTTGCCGACGCTGAGAAGCAGTCATAGAGGGAGGAGGAGGAGCAGGATGAGTAGAGTAACCCAGTAGGGATCATCAGAGCGGAGAAGGGGAGGGGGGGAGGGAGAAGAGTAAATACCGAGACTCGAACGACTGAGCAAGGAGGAAGAGCCGCTGCGGATGGAAGGGGCGCCTGTGGCGGAAGACGAAGCTCGTTATTCCCATCCTCTCTGCCTCCGACTTGTGGCCGGCGATGCCACCATGCTCGTGCTCGTGCCCGTGCTCGTGGTTGTCGCACCCGGGGCGGGTGCAGACGCCTGAGGCAGGAGGAAGGTCCTGATGCCTGCTGAGGAGGGACGCTGTGCTCGATCGCCTCTCGTACTTGCCGGTGTTGAGGATCTTGTTCAAGTCCACCACGCTCCTCTTGCTGGGACAGACCTCTGCAGCCGGATTGAGCTCCTTGAGGAGAGCATGCGCGAGCGCCAGCGAGGGAGCGTCCAACAGGTCGATCTTGTTCAGCACAATCACGTCCGCAAACTCAATCTGCCAGCTCAGCTCAGAACCGCCCACCTCTCACCCCAGCTGAATCTCACCTGCTGCGCCATGAGCTGCGCGACGGTCATCCTCCCCAGCGCCTCCGCCTGGCCCTTCACGTCCGCGGGGTTTCTCAGCTCCCGTAGCAGCGAGCTGCCATCGCAGACGGTCACGATTGTGTCCAGCTGAGCGACGGTGTCAAGCTTGAAGCCCGAGTCGTCCTCGAAGCTGAACGTGTCGGCGACGTGCGCAGGGTCACCAGCCCCCGTGCTCTCCACCAGCAGGTAGTCAAAGTGCCCCGAGCTCGCAATCCGTCGGATCTCGCGCAGCAGGTCGTTGCGGAGGACGCAGCAGATGCAGCCGTTGGAGAGCTCGACCAGGTCCTCCTCCTGCCTCGTCACGCTGAAGCTCGGAGCTCCCACTAGCGCCGCGTCCACGTTGACGTCGGAGAGATCGTTGACTAGCAGGGCGACTCGCATGCCCTGCTGGTTCGTGAGGATGTGCTGCAGCAATGTCGTCTTGCCCGCCCCGAGGAACCCGGACAGCAGGGTGACCGGCAGCCTCTTCCTAGACCCTCCTCCTCCTTCTCCTCCTCCTGCGCTCGCTGCAGCACCGCTCAGGGCACTGGCTAGAAGGTCTGCAGATGCTCCTTTGCCGCTCTTTGCGACTGCAGGAGCAAGAGAGAAGTTTGGAGAGCTCGAAGGGTTGAGGCTGAAGTTGGGAAGGGAAGGAGCTGAGGAGGTGGAGGAGAGGGGAAACGCGCCCCCCGCGTCCTGCCTGCTCCTCGGATCGAAGTTGAGTTGACTCCTCAGGAATCTGGCACCGAACACTCCTCCCCGCTGCCATGGAGCCACATGGAGGATGCCGGCGTCGTGAGCCCGCTGAAGCTGCTGCGCAATGCTCTTCATGACCTCTCTCTCTTCCTCCGTTTTCAGCTGCGCGAAGGCGCTCTCGAACGAGAACCAGTCGTACAGGTCGTCTTCGTCCTCCTCCTCCTCCTGCATGCCCGTCACTCCCCTCCCTCCCTACACCGACCGCTCAAACCTCGTCGTCCATGGCTCCGTCTTCAGGGGGAGGAAACGTCGCAAACCCCGTAAAGATCGTGACGACCTCCTTCCCTCCTCCCTCGGCCCTGCGGTAGAAGACGCTAGGAGGCATCTCACGGCATATCCTCAACTCCTCCTCCCTCAAGTCGCACTGCTCGCAGACGGCTCGGACCGCCGCTTCCTCCATCGTCTCCGTCCCCTTCATCCTCTCCATGGGTATCCTGAGCCCCTCCCATCTCGCCGGCTGCTCCTTGCTGCGCACCAGGACGCACTTGGAGCCGCGCAGGAGGAGGACGCCGAAGTAGCGCGTGAAGGAGGAGGTGGCGTTGGGGTGTGAGGCTGAGACAGCGGCCGCGTAGCCGTCGACCTTGTCCTCCAGCACCTTCGACCTTGCTGGAGAGCATGAGGACAGGAGGAGGAGGAAGTGACCCTGCGCTGCCTGAACCTGCCCGGACAGTCGGTACGTGCCTCCTCGCTGGAAGTTTGCGGCCTGTCGGAGAGCTTGAGAGTAGATGATGGAGATGGTCCCTGCAGAGGTTTCTCAGCTCTCCCTCTCTCCTCGGCCAAGCTGGCGTCTACCTGAGGCGTCTCCGATGACATTCTTGTAGAGCTTGTTGGGCATCGCAGTCTCCTTGCCCAGCTGATAGTTTGACAAGTCAAGAGGAGAAGAAGAGAAGGAGAGGCAAGGAGATGCAGATGCAGATGGAGATGAAGATGAAGATGGTGATGGAGATGAAGATGGTGATGGAGATGAAGATGAAGATGGTGATGGAGATGAAGATGAAGATGGTGATGGAGATGAAGATGAAGATGAAGATGGAGATGGAGATGAAGATGAAGATGGAGATGAAGATGGAGATGAAGATGGTGATGGAGACGATTGGAGGTGGGCGGGAAGGGAGCGAGAGAAGGAGGGGGAGGGAGAGGGGTAGAGATCACGGAAGGGAGGAAGGGAGGAGGGGGAGAAAGATAGAGGGATGTTTCTCACCAAGACCCCCATCATGCCGGAGACGACGTCTCCTCCACGCAGTCTGAGGAGTTCGTAAGTCAGCTCTTGAAGAGCAAAAGAACACGTGAGAAAGTAGGGAAAGAGAGGAGAGAGGTAGGCAGGCAGGCAGGCAGCATTACCTATGAATCCTGTGAGAACTTTCTTTTGAGTTGTCAAGGGAGATGTTGTTGGTTGAACTCGCAAGGTTTTCAATAGGTGACATGTAAGTTCCAAGAAGCTCCTGCTGCTGCTCCTCCTGTGGAGTTTCCTCTTTCTCCTCTGCTTTCTCATCTTCCAGGTTGAGCTCTTTTACGTAGGTGACATCCTGAACCACCTGCGTGGATGATGATGTTATGTAATGACAAGAGAACGATGCTGTAATGTGATGACAATGCATGGAAGCTTGCTTGCCTGTTTGGTTCTACTGTCAATCTTGAACTCAACCTCGGCGACAATGATTATCTTTCCTCCTTCAACTTCCTCCATGTCTGGCTGGTCTGCGCCTTGCATCTGTACAAGACACCTGACGAGCAAGTCGGGCAGCTTGCCTGCGCTGTGATATGAGTCCAAGACAAGTCGACGTCAAGGAAATCACTTGATTGATAGCAAGACACGCCGTCCATGAAGCTTTGCAGCGATTCGCTAGTTCGTTGTGATATGGCAAGGTCCTGAGAATTGTCCACATGTGAAATGTTTGAATTTTCGCTGAGGAAAAACAACACAAACAGGAGAAGAGAAACACAAAGAAACAATCAAATAGAGCAAGAACAATGAAAGAAACAAGAAAACGAGAATCCAACACATAGACAACAGGTATTTGAGTCAAAGAGATTTACAGGAGAGATAACGGCAGACTTGATCGATGTTTCTGATGAAGGGGGCCAGTCACAAGTAAGATAAATTATCATGCCGAAACAAACTTTGAGCAGTTGCAAGTTGTTGTTTGATCTGTGCAGGCACGATGAAAACGTCCTCGAGGAAAAAGACGATTCCAGAGATGGAATCCTGAAACCGTGAGGGGCAGAAAAGCGAGCGCGGGAGTGGGAAAGGAGGACGGTGACGGAAAGAAGGATGTGCAAACAAAAGAGGAGGAGGAGGAGAGGAGGAGGAGGATGAGAGGATGAGAGGAGAGGAGGAGAGGAGAGAAGGAGAGGAGGAGAGGAGGAGGAGGAGACAAGTATTAGCAACTCGTCGCAACAGTCGTAATCTCATCACCCGACAGACATTGTTGGCAACCATCTTCATCACCGTCAAGCTTGCTGCTTCTCCACACACGAGGAATGTTATCTTCTGTGCGTTCAACTTCTGCAGCATCCTTGCAACAGGCTTCGTGACCTGCGGGTAGAACAACAGGAGGTCATGCAAAGACATGCGTCCTACAGGACAAGAGATGTCAGGCAACGAGCCACGACCTACCGGCCCGAGCGACCTCGACGCCAACTCTCTTGGCCATTCCTTCATCTAAAGGACAGGAAATCACATCAGAAGAGATCCCGCTGGACAGAATGCTCACCAGTGGTGTACAATCAACAACAAACACGGTTGAGGTAACTTGCTTTCCCAAAATCTCGTTGAGCTCGTCCGAATATTCGTCATAGCTTGCATTCGCCCTGTTGTCTTCTGTGGCATGTAAAATTATCAAAGTTTCCGATGGCTCGAATTGCGGTTTGTAGATGTTGTTTTCCGTGACTGCAAACAATCTTTGCACATAATGTCAGATGCCGTTGAGTGACACCTAGGAGAGGAAAGTGCATGGAAACACAGAAAGGAATGAAGGAAAGAACAGGCGCTCATGGAATTGTTGTCTGACATCAACATCAATCCACTTCACAGCGGTCTTGTGTCAACCCATCAAGTTCCTCATGCATCAACAACCCTACATCGCACTCTCACCATTCACCTTCGTCACGCATCTCATTTTACACATCAGGATCATCTCGTATCAGCACTTTGACGTGTCGGCGACTGCTCGCGTGTCTCTCCTCGCATCATGTTCGCCTCTGCCTCTCACCTTGTCTCTTCCCATCTCTCGTTCTCTCGTTCTCGTCGCCTCCGTTCGTCTGCCTTCCTGCTCATTGTGGATTCAATACCCACCCCTTCATTGTACCTTTGACTACCCTACCCTGTCGGACCTGATTCCCCTTCCCCGCACGTGCCCCATTCGCCCGACAAACTTCTTAGGCGAAGTCACTGACTTGAAGGCCGGGCCCGGCCGCGAAGTTCCGACTCCCGAGTCCAGTGGCGGCTCTGCCACGCCGGGGGGGGGGGGACGTCCGACGGTCAGTTAGCCTACTAAAGCGGGGCGGCGCGGGGCCCGGACCCGTGCTCGCCGGAGCCAGTCCGTCGGACCGGGTACTAGGCTAACGGTAAGTACGATATCACGGCAGGCTTCCAATGAACGGACTGCCCTGCGATGAACTTTTTTACTCAAATTACACCGTGCGAACGGCGCCGAGTCACAGGGGGCACGGCTGAGTATAGTCCGACGGTCACGGGGCCGGTCAGTGGCACGGCCCGTGACCGTACTGCCTGGCCGGGCCGTGGGCCGCGCCGCCCGCCGCCGGCCCGGGGCCCACGGCCCGGCCATGCCCAGCCTGCCGGCGCCGCGGCCCGGGGCCCGGCCGTGTCACGGTGACGGTGACTGATTTACTCCCTCTGTGAACTTCCGATTAGTATGCAACTTTTATCATCCTATTGCCTAACCTTGACCCCCCCTTTCCGCTGCCATCACCCTACTCTTTGATATGACCCGTGACCCCCTCCTTGACTATCTTCCTACCCCACCCGGTGACCCTACGATCTTGATCCCTTTACCTCAACCGCCAGCCATTGCCTGGGCATGGCCAAGACCGAGAGGGCGGCTCGTTGCGGCCATGGGAGGAGGAGAGGAGACATCTAGCTTGAGGAAAGGAAGTATCTCTCACCTACCGTGAGCAGGCGAGAGATCGAGCTCTTGTCCTCTCCATCGCTGTATCAGTCGAGAAATTCATCTGCCAGCGACGGTCAGATTTGTATACCAGGGTTGCGTGGAAGGTAAAAACAGCCGCCATGACCATGCTGCAACTCAGCTTGTGAGGGCGAAGCAGAGAAGGTAAACTCAGGTGGGCTCTTGTGTATCATTTGCTATCTATTGCTGGTAGTGAACATGCTATTAGGCAGAAGGAAGGTCTTAACAGGAACCGACCCTACATAGATCATGGAGGACAAAGCTGATGAGATGGAAACACCTCGACTGTCTTCGACGGCTGAACAAAACTCTCAAGTCGTTGATGTGACACATGATTTTCTACAAGCCGATGAGGAATCTCGGGCAGGAAACCCTCACACCCCCCAGGTGTTGCGAATAGAGCAAGACCAGACAGCATTGACGAGGTGTGTATGATGAACCTTCCGAGTGTTTGTTGAAGATGGGATGGTGCAGTTTCAAGAAGGGACTGAAATCTCGAGCAAGAGAGCGATTGGGCGTCTTAGAGCAGAAGCTGAAATTCCTTGAAAACCTCGAAGGCCAACTCAAGATGGTCGAATTCTTTCCATCATCCCAGCAGAATGCAAGCTCTCCTGATCAAAACGGAGAGTTCTCGGTGCTTCCCAATGCAGTAGTAACAGATGCTCTTGTTGCCTCACATCGTCATGCCTCGGATGATCACAATCATGTACGATCAAACGCGCAGTTGGATGGAAATCACTTTCATCAAGACGAGATTGAAAGGTCCAAGTGGGAGATCCAGATGAAGTATCAACAGCATCTACAAGAACAGGCAAGCATTCAGAGACCTCTTGTCAATCGTGTCACTCATACCTCATTGCTCAGGATGCATACTTACATCTGGATCTTGATATGGATCAATTCCGCCACATAGTACGTGAGGAGATGCTCTCTAAGTCGTATGGTAAGCATCGCTATCGTGAGCGCTCAGGTTAGAGATGGAGAATGATGGTTGAATAGCAGGAGCAGTCGACAAGGTTCCACCGCGTACAGCAGAGCGAGCTTCTCGGAAAGGCAGCTCTTCGAGATTCCAAAACTTGCTGAGAGATTACGGTAGTCAACGTGCTTTGTGTCTGTGACAGTAACGATTCCATTACAGAGGAGATTTCTCTCAAGCGCATCTTCGGAGGGTTTTCAAGGACGAGCCCAATAAGACTCAAATGCTTCCAAATCGTGACAAGCAAGGAATGGAACTCTTTCTTCCTGATTGCAACGGTCTTGAACAGTGTAACTATCTCCCTTGCCCCTGAATTCCCAAAAGCCTCCAAGACGACTCAAACCCTCGACATTATTGGATACGCGTGTGGGTTGGCCTTCTTCTTTGAGGTGACGTGTGGAATCATTGCATATGGATTTTGGCATGGTCCAACTACATACATGAACCTATCCGATTTCAATCGATTAGATTTCTTCTTGTTGTTGACACTCCTGGCGGAATACTTTGCAGAGTTTGCTCTGCGCCTTCAAGGCCCGTCCATTCGTTCGTTTCGACTGCTCCGACTGCTCAAGTACATGATGAGGATGAGGCTGTTCTCCAACGTGAGAGCAATGATTCAAACGCTCAGGCAGGGAATGTCTCAGATTCTCATCGTAGCGATGGTCTTGGCTTTCTTTGTCGCCATGTTCGGAATCTTTGGGATGGCCATCTATCAGAACTCTTTTGCGAGGCGATGCCTCATGGCCGCTCGGAACGTTTCGTCTGCTATCTGTGCTTCCGATGCTTCAAACAACTGGTCAAAGACTTGTTCCTTCAATGACAATCTAGCTCCTCTATACCTTGAGAACGGGAGCATCGCCGTCTATCCTGGATACCCTGGTATGCGCTGGTGCAAGATCTATTGCACAGACCCGGTGAGTCTGGCTGTACTTGCCTTGGCTGGAGTGCTGACGCTGCGACAGGCTACCTGCCCCCAGTACGCGGGGGTGAAACCTCAGGACTCGAGGGGGTGGTACCACAGCTGCCAAGAGCAAGTTGATCTCAACAATGATGGTGTGGTGAATGCGACCGATCTGCTGTACGTGGATCAATACTGCGAGTCGATCGGGAACCCTCAGTTCGGCCTGCAGAACTTCGACAGCCTCGGCGGAGTCATCCCGACCATCCTTCAAGTCGCAGCTCCCGATTCATCTTACGATGTGATCCTCGAGTCTCTTCAGAGTGAACCAAGTGCGATCATCCTGACTTGGTTCTTCTACGTGGCCATCACGGTCTTGTGCACGTTTCTAATCCTCGGCCTCTTTGTCGCTGTGGTGACAGGAACGTTTGCACGAGTCAGAGAGCGGCACGCTTCCATAAGCTTCGAGGACTCCATAGAGCAGGTCTCTGAGCCGAAGCAACGATCAAGACATGACGGTGTTGCCGGGGTCGGACATCTTGAACGTCAGCGAACGTCTCAAACCTTCCCAACCCGCGAAGAGCTCGGAATCAAAAGCACGATTGATGCCGAGGCAGACGATGGAGAATCTGTTTTACAAAATATCGCCTATCACCTTTTGTTTGAGACGCGCTTGGTACATTTCATCTCTTTTGTCATTTTGATCGATGTCCTCATGATAGCCATCAGCGAGAGCTTGTACTCCATGGAAGCACAATCTCAAATGAGCTCGAGAGGACAGTGGAGCCAAGCAGCAGTGATAGTCTCATCGATTGCAGTGGCCATCTTCGCCATAGAACTTGTCTTGCGATATTCGGCCTATGGGGGGATCAAAGAGTTCTGGCGACGAAGAAACAACAAGGCAGAATCTATCCTGGTGATACTCAATGTGATAGGCCTCATCCTCGATTCCAAGTTCTTGACTTTCCTGGCTGTCTTGCGAATGTATCGACTGATGATCTACTTCCCGACGCTTTACAATCTGTTGGCCTCTGCCATCGCGAGCGGATCCTCAATTTTCAACCTTGTGTGCTTCATAGCGTTGATTGCCTTGTGCTATGCTGTCGCTGGGAGGTATTCCTTCGCCGGTGCCATGGTCCCCTACACGAGATCAAACTTTGGGACTTTTCCGCAGTCGCTCCTCACGATCTTTCAGTTGCTGGTTGGTGACTCCTGGTCGGGCGTGCTCTACCAGGCCATGCAGGTTAAAGTCACGCTGGCCGGGCGATTTTTTGCAGCGTTTTTCGTCTTGTCTTGGTTCATCTTCGGGCGTCTGATCATCTCGAATCTGTTCATCGCTGTGATCATTGAGAACTTCAACGTCTCGGATACCATAACTCACTTCAAACAACCGGGATACATCTCCAACATTCGCCAGGTGATCAAGAAATCCTACTCTCAGCTCTATCAGCTCCACTGGACTCTGCGAGGAGCTGGCCGAGTGATTGCCTACGATCCCGAGACTGACACTTGGGTGCCAAGGAGAGAAATCGAGTACACGCTGACGCAACACACTGGGAATCTCGATGCTTCCATGATGGAGTATGCTTCAAAAGCGTACCCGCACCTCGCAACTTTGGTCTCAATGTCAGTGCTCAAGACAGAAAAAGAAGAGCTCGACCAGGCAGGCAGCAAGCAGAACATGGAGCGAGTTCTGCTCTACTTCCATCCCTTCCATCCAGCTCGAAGATTCTGCACGTGGCTGATCAAGCAGCCCGCATTCGATCTTGTGATCTTCGCCTCCATAATCGTGGGATGCATCCTCCTCGTCACTGCGCCGCCATATGACGATATCCCGGGCAACGCTCCCTTGCTGGACCCAGTCATGTCGCAGCAGCTGAACAACCTCTTCACCTTCATCTTCACCGTTGAGTTCATCTGCCGCGTCATGTGCCACGGGCTTCTCTTCACTAAGAACGCATACCTGAAGTCCGGCTGGAACATCATGGACAGCGTCGTTCTCCTGTTCTCCTGGATCGACGTCTCCAACGTCATGACCAACGGAAAGATTGCCAAGGTGTTTCGTCTCGGCCGCGCCCTGAGGCCTCTGAGGTTGATGAAGCGAAACATCGGGATGAGGATTCTGATCGACGCGTTGATCGGGACTCTTGCTCCCGTCTGGTACGTCATCGTCTTCATGATGATTTCCTTCGTCGTCTTCGCCATTGTTGGCATGTCTCTCTTCGGAAGGAAGCTCTATCGATGTACCGATGCCGACTTCGCCGCGTTTCCTGGTGGCAAGTCCGACTGCTGCGGACTGTCTGCTGACCTTTCGTCGGGGATCCTCTACCCTCGTGCGTGGGTTCGGCCGTATCATAACTTTGACACGTTCGGAGATGCTTTCCTCACTCTCTTTCGCATCAACACCATCAAGTACGTTGGGATCCTGGCCGATGTGGTCGACATCACAGGAGAGAATCTGAGCCCGCAGGAGAATCACTCGATGGTGTACTCCTTGTTCTTTGTCATCTACCTCATCTTCGGAGCTCTCTTCACCATGAACCTGCTTGTCGGCTTCATTGTCGATGGCTTCAACCTCAACGCCGGATCCAGCGAGGCAGAGATCTTCTACAACCGGCTCATGAGGTACCTCAAGGATTACAAGCCGCGGCATGACAGGTTCCCTCCTCCATCCAACGCGCTCAGCACCTGGATGCGAACGCAGATCGCGTCACAACAGTTCCAGACCTTCTCCATGGGCTGCGTGTTCACCAACGTGATCTTCATGCTCTCCGATCACGCCAACGCAGATTCAACCTATCTGAGCATCTACGACTTCCAGAACAACTTCTTCTTCTGGGAGCTCTTTGCTGAGATCGCCCTCAACCTTGTGGCCTACGGCATCTTCGAGTTCTGGAACGACAGGTGGAAGATGTTCGACGCGCTGGTGCTGCTGGGAGCCTCGCTGGCAAAGATCAGCTCGCAAGGAGCCGTCTCCAAGGCCGCGCGAGCAGCGCGTGTTGCTCGCGTCCTCCGCCTCATGAAGATGTTCCGCCCGCTGCGAGTCATCCTCGAGACCCTCGTGTCAAGTGTGCCGCAACTCTCCAACATCCTGTTCCTCCTCTTCCTCTTCTACACCATGTTCGCCGTCGTCTTCATCCAGATCTTTGCCACAACCAAGAACGGTCAGCGGCTGGGCCCGACGGCAAACTTCGCCGACTACATGCAGGCATGGAGAACGATCTACCAGATGATCATAGGAGACGAATGGATGACTATCATGGACGACTGCAGGGTCCAACCCCCCGCCTGCACCAAGATCTTCAGCACGGAGTACGACCCCTACTATCACGGGAAGAGCTACAGCTTCGGCGACTGCGGCAGCCCCTTTGCAGTCTTCTGGTTCCCGCTCTTCATCCTGATCTGTCAAGCTATCTTGTTGAACCTCTTCATCGGGATGATCTTGGACAACTTCGCGTTCATCACGGACCAGGTGGCGGAGGTGGAGGACGAGGAGTGGGAGAAAGGGGCATCATCAGGTCAAGTCATGGAGATCTCCCGCATCTTCCAAGAGTTCACCCTAGGATCCTCCTACGTCGGCCTCGCGTCCGTCCATGTGCTGATGCGCCAGATCCCCACTCCTCTTGGTTTCAAGACGCGAGACGGGAAGCTGAGGTTCGGGAAGGAGGAGAAGACAGCGGAGAAGCTGATCCGAGCGGAGCTCAACGTGCTGTCGAGGCAACGGAGGATTGACAGCATGAAGACTCAGAAGGCCAACGTCATTGCCCGGATCCGAAACATGATCATGCAGCGGTTCTTGAAAACGGAGGACAAGTACTTGACCAGGATCAGTTTCGAGGAGCTCGTGCTGACCATGTTGTACTGGCGCAAGCCCACCATGGTTCCTCGGGAGATCAGGAGGAACAGGGTGAAGCAAGTCAAGGAGGTCGTCCACATGCTGCACGCGCTGACTCTCAAAGACTTCTTTCTCAGCCTCGTCAACCACCGCCTGAAGAAAGAGATGAACAAAGCTCTCGCCCCCTTCGTCAACTTCGTCCAATGGTCCTCCACAGACCCGCACTATGGGAGGCGGCGCGAGCACTTCAACCGGCAGAAGAGCGAGGTAAAGAAGAGGGCTCTAAAGGACGCCATGTACAGAGGGGTCCGGTTCTCAGCTCCTGCCCAAGTCCTCGAGTTCACCTTCCTGCAGCTGCACGAGCTGCCCAACTCGTTCGTCCCCCACCAAGAGATGGTCAAGTCTGACCTCCACGTCAAGTTCCCACGTGCCTCGCACGGGCTATTGTTGTTCAAGCAGCGCGTCAAGACCTCTCAGGTCGTGCTCAAGTACATGGACAGCAAGAACGAACGGAAGGGGATGGTCAAGGTGGATTTAAGGCAGTGCAACTGGCAGGGCTGGGAGGAGCAGGAGTCGGAGCGAGACGTGTTCTTCCTCCCCCACAACAGGCAGACCAGGCTGGACGAGAGGATGCCCTCGTGGGACCAGGTAGACATCCTAGAGCCCATGGACGCATGGAACGACGAGTCAGAAAAGGTCTTGGTCGGAAGCATCGTGGACGTACAGAGTTTTACAACATGGACACAACTGAACAACGCGGGGATGCCGAGAGATCCTGTGAGTGTCCTCCGACTGAACCTCGGGAGGCACGAGAGCTCCAACAGGAGCTCAATCGCCATCGAGCGAGGCAGTGACAAGACCTCGAAAGACGCTCGAGTTGAAGCTCGCCGCCGATCGGAGCAGGCTAAGGTGAAGCAGCTCGGAGACATAGTCTACAGCGCGACGTTGGAGGTGTTGGGGTACATTCCATGAAGGCAGCCCTCAACAGACACCTTCTTTTCTTCCCTGATGCGTGCGCTCCCTACCTCTCAGACGGCAGCAACAGTCTTCAGCAGCGGAACTCCAGCAACCTGGCCAACGTCAGCTGGGTGCTGTGCTCGACGTGCAGCGCTCACTCTCGTTGCGATGAGCAGCCCGAAGCCAAGGTAAGCGAAGGAACCGACGACATTGACAATGAAAACCTGCGGGCGAGGTCAAGCTGGTCGCCATGACTGGCGGGGGGGGGCTCACCGTGAGGCCGAAGGCCGTCGGTTTGTTGACGCTCTTGCCCGTCAGAGACCCGGCCTGGCAAGGCACGTCAGGACGAGTCGGGGAGCTGCACGTGCGGCTACCTTGGTCTGGATCGTCTCCACCATCTTGTCAAAGAAGGGCGAGAGGGCGACAGAGAGGGCGAAACGAGCAGGACGGATAACGTTCTGATGGAAAGGCGACGTCAGCTGAGCTGCTGCTGGAGCACCACAGGGCTACCTGGAACGCATAGAAGATGGCATACACCGCGAGGAACGCGGGCCACTGGGGGGGGGTCGACTAGATCAGCCGGTACATCTTGAGAGACCAGGGGTAGCACCTGGTTGGGGTCGAGGGGGGAGAGGCCTGTCTTCTTGCCATGGATCACCCACGCAGCGATCAAGCAAGAGATCTGTAAACGTGTTCGATTAAGTGAAGTGTTGAAACACAGAGACAAGCACAGACATGAGAGAAATTGCTGACCCATCCGTATGACAGCAACCTGCCCACGGGTCATTCCACCGTCATCGAACACAACGTCAAGGCTCACGCGCTCGCTCCAAGAGCTGCAAGCTTCTGTTTATCCATCTTCGCTCCCATGAAGAAGTTCTTCACCCCATCGCTCATTCTCTTGAACAACGGCTTCTTCTCGCTCTGTGAGGCCTGTAGTTGCTGCCCCGACATCCGATCCTTGGACCCGTCGCCGTGCTCCCACTCTACGTCGAATTTCTCCCCTTCCGACGACTTTCCCTTGGCGTCACCAGACATCAAAGGTGTTCTGAGGTGATTCCCAGCGATCCTCTTGGTTGGATGGCTCAAAGTCTTGGGTCGAGTGCCGACCAGCCCGACTCGACCTCCTGCGCCAAGACCGTGGCTATGCATCAGGGCGAAGGCAAGACTGTTGGGTTGAGCACTATAGCTGATCTCGTTTGGAGCAAGAAATCCTGATCCTGCTCCTGCTCCTCCTCTAGCTGCTTCACTCGCCGCCACCATGCTGATCGCCGCCACTAGGACTGTTCGTAGCATGTTCGCTGTGTTCTTCCGCCCCATAAATCCTTCCACCCCTTCTAAGTGTACCCCCACCTCCTATTTGTCTTGCATGCACCCCCCACCTCAGCCTGTTCTTATTACCCCTCGTTGCCCATTACCCCGCCATGCTGATCTGCCCGTTACGTGCTCCTCATCCCTCCTCATACCCACTTGCCTTCACTCCCGCCCACAGCACTGCCCACAGCACTCGGCCCGGCTCCACTCCGAGCCAGTGACCGATCGGACAGTGTAAGTTCAAGATTCGAGCCGCGCCGGGACTCGGGACTGGGATGATGTGTCGGACACTGTCTGAGTGCCAGGCTCTCGGCGGCGCCGTGACTGATCGGACTCGGAGCCTACTAACCGTTGAATTGCGGCCCGGGCGGCCCCGCCGAGTGTGTGACCCGACGACTCTTTCCTAGCCCGGCCGTCATCCCATGCTTGCCGCGTAGTAAGGTCCTCACACTGTGACCGTCCATGTCTGGATGCTTGGGTTTCACATCCTAGTATTCCTCGCCGTGTGCATTAAACTCGGTCCGAGTTGAGCAAAAACTGTGCCTTGTTACAACACAACTGAAGGTCGATATGAGTTTTTAATTTAACTTTGAGTAAACTCACCCGGTGATTGACTTCTGTCTGATCGGATAAGAGTATCAAGCCTTTCGGCAGTCACTCATAAGCCTGCCCCCGGTAGAATACTAGGCCCGGCCCAGATAGGAAGATAGACTGTGAGAGCCTGAATAGAAGGAAGGAAAAGGTCAAGAAAGGAGAGTGAGGAAAGAGAGAGAAAGAGAAGAAAGAAAGAGAGAGAAGAGAGAGGAAGAGAGAGACTCAGAGAGAGAACTTAAAAGACAGGACCCCATGCTTATATACAGATCATGAACCAGGCCCGAGGGGTATTGTTCGCCCCGAGGATGCTTCCTCTGGTCATTCCATCGAATAGTCGGAATGGAGTACCGTACCGTTCCTCAGGGGTGCCCGGCCCGCCCGGGGCCGGGGGCGCGGCGGCGGGCCCGGGGAGTGCCGAGCCAGGGCCCGGACTCCCCGGGCCCATGATTCAATTGGGGGGCCGTCACACGGTAGTACCGTGACAGGATGCGGTTCGACCCCCTTCAGGATTATTACCCGGTTGGTTCTGTACCCCCTATTTCATATATAAGTACCCCCCTTATGATGTGGTACAAGTACCCCCTAGTCTTATGCGGCCGTAAAGACACAATGGCAGCGACGAACGAGAAGATCGCGAGTTGCTCCATGAAGACGAGGATGGAGACGATGAAGACGACGAGGAGAATGATGATTTCGATCGTGGTCCTGCTGGCGATGATGATCGGTTGTGATGCCTTCCATCCAGGTAAACAGCAGCTCAACCGAAGTCACGTCGACACGTAGAGAAGAGAGGAAGGTTGAGGTGAAAGGGTGCGAGGCAGACGCATGGATTTTGGATTATAAGGCTGTTTCTCAAGTCAATCTGAGAAGCAGAAGAAGAAGAAACACATTGTAGCAAGACATGCAGGCTAGTTAAAACTAGTCAGATGAGAAAAGTGCATTTCAGTATGTCTGCTCTTCATAGAACACCCTTCAACATGATAACGAATCAGCTCGACGGTTTTGACTTTCCTTGCCACTGAATCATTCCTCCTCAGGAGGACGCATTTCGTTGCGCTGCGGAGTTTTCTCTCCTGAACGGAGGTCGAGTAGGATAGGTGGGGCATGCAAATCAAATACGGTCGTCGTGATGGCAAAGAACAACGAGAGGTCGAGGTCGAACGGTATAGGTTTCGGACAGAAGAAAGATGAGAAGAAGGTGATTGTTTAGTGTCTTTTCCTCCTCCTCAACATCTGCCTGTTCAGGTCACAGCCAAGGAGGAGAAACGTGCGGAAGGGAAGAGGAGATCTTCGGCAGGGACAGACGATATCTTCTCTATGGTGGAACAGGCGGCGGCCGGTCGCATCTCTCGTCCGGAAGCAAGGCCTCTGGAGCCGGAGGAAAGGCAGAAGAGGCAGGTGGCAGGGAAGGAGGAGGTGAAGCAAGGAAGGTAGTGTGCTGTTCGTGCTCGTTAGGGTTGGTGACTCTTGCTTTGGAAGAGTCGGTCCTCCTATCATGATCAAGCGAGCTGACAAGAGCAGCTCTCAGGCCAGGGAGGAGTCTGATCCATCGAACAAGGAGGCTGCTGCTGCGGCGACACGAGAAAAAGAGGCGGCGGCGGCGGCGGCGGCAGCAGCAGCAGCAAAGAAGCAGGAGGAGGAGGAAGAGGAGGAGGAGGAGGCAGAGGCGGCAGCGGCAGCAGCGGCAGCAGCGAAGAAGCAGCAGGAGGAGGAGGCAGCAGCAGCGAAGAAGCAGCTTGAGGAGGCAGAGGCGGCGGCGAAGAAGAAGAAGCAGGAGGCAGCAGCAGCAGCGAAGAAGCAGCTTGAGGAGGCAGAGGCGGCGGCGGCGAAGAAGAAGAAGCAGGAGGCAGAGGCAGCAGCAGCAGCGAAGAAGCAGCAGGAGGAGGCAGAGGCAGCAGCGGCTGCGAAGAGGCAGCAGCAGGAGGCAGAGGCAGCGGCGGCGGCGGCGAAGAAGCAGCAGGAGGAGGCAGAGGCAGCAGCGGCTGCGAAGAGGCAGCAGCAGGAGGCAGAGGCAGCGGCGGCGGCGGCGAAGAGGAAGCAGCAGGAGGAAGCTAAGGCTGTAGTGAAAGATGGCGATCGGCAGCGAATGAAGCAGCAGAGTGACGATGAGGTGAGACATGCTGTTGTATTCTGGTGCTGACATACAGCAGACAAGACTGAGACTTGAAAGACTCGCACAGATTGCTGAAGAGCAAGCAAAGCAGAAGGTATTGACATGAAGGGCAACGAAATCCCCTTGATGTTTCTGTTCGATGATGTCAGCAAGAGAGTTACTTTTGAGTTGTGTTGTAGCATGACTTTGGTGAGCAGAAGGAACAATTGAACAAGAAGCAAGACAACCCTGCCACATCATCGTTTGGAGATTTCATCTGTGATATCTTCGCAAGCTCTTTCAGAGCTCTTTTTAACAAGAAGAAGTGATCTTTGTCAAGCCCAACGAGTAATGATAGATACTATTACTTACATCTTATGAATACCATTATTACCATTATTCCTTACATACAATAAAACACAATATCGTTATTCACTGAAAAGAAATCATGGAGACCTTGTCAAGATCAAGCGATCTTTCTCGACATCTTCTTTCGATTCTCTGCCGTTGTGTGAGAATCAAGACAGGAGAAGACAAGACAGAATGACCAATAAGTAGGAGCTTCATTGCTACGAGGTTGGCAGCCTCCACGCAATCCGGATCACCCATCTCTTGCAGAGCCTGATCATATCAATCAGGACGAGGAGGTTGCAGGAGGAACGATGTAAGGTCTAGTAGCTAACCCTGGTGATCTGCCTCGAGCTGAAGTTCTCAAGCTAGAGGACTCAAAGGTCAGGGGCAAGGCAACAGGAGAGGAGCAGGTTCAACCTGATGCTTCATGATCTTTACAAACATCTTGTAGTTGACCTTCTTCTGCGCCGAGCACCTGGCTGCTCCTCAGTCTCCCCGCATCCATGGTAGCACTCGTTTACAGCTGATACTCTTCCGTCAGAAACTCGAAATCATCGACTGACAGATGAATCTGAGGGTCCGTTCCCAACGCCTGATAAGCAAGTCAGCCCGATGCTCCCACTGGCTGCCCTCGCTTTCTCGCTCTCTTCCCCTCCCCCCCTGTCTCCCTCTTTCTCGTCCCTTCTATCTCTCTGTCTTTCACATTCTCCTTCGTCTGTCCCTTCCCTTCTCCCTCTCTCCCTCTCCCTCTTCCTTCTTCTCTGTGTTCTTTGCCTTCTGTTGACCTACCCTGAAGCCATTCTGAAGGTCTTGGAACGAAAGCTCCGCCTTCTCGTCCTTGTTGATCGCCTGCCCTCGCACTCAGGATCTGCTGCAAGTCAAGAATAGATTCACCTGAAACAGATCCAGAATCATCTTGTTGAGCTGCTCCAGACTTTCAAACTGAGCAAGCTGAAGGGACCACGTAAATCGTGAAGCTGATAGTAGATGACATGACCACCTCGTACAAGACCGGGTCGATGCACAACTTGGAATGGTGGCTAACGTTCAAGTCAGACTCCTCTCATGCTCCTGACTTCACTCACTGCTCGTCTGCGTCCTCCAATTCCTTCGCCCTCTCACTCCGAATCATCTGAAAAGGATCAAGAGAAGCTCCGTGAGGAGGAGGAGGAGGAGGAGGAGGAGGAGGAGGAGGAGGAGGAGGAGGAGGAGGAGGAGGAGGAGGAGGAGGAGGAGGAGGAGGAGGAGGAGGAGGAGGAGGAGGAGGAGGAGGAGGAGGAGGAGGAGGAGGAGGAGGAGGAGGAGGAGGAGGAGGAGGAGGAGGAGGAGGAGGAGGAGGAGGAGGAGGAGGAGGAGGAGGAGGAGGAGGAGGAGGAGGAGGAGGAGGAGGAGGAGAGAA